AGATATATAGAGAGAGAGAGAGAGAGAGAGAGAGAGAGAGAGAGAGAGAGACAGACAGACAGACAGACAGACAGACAGACAGACAGACAGACAGACAGACAAAGAGAAATGTGCGCAATCTTCTTCGATATGCCTACCTTGTGTTTTAGCCTTGGCTGTGGGGTAGCTTCGGAAGAAGAACCACGCCTGAGACACTGCCACAACGTCCAGCAAAACAAGAACACACAGCAGAAAGCTGTGGGCCATCATGGTGGGATTTCTTGAACCGTCTGCGTTGTACACGTCTGCAAACTCCCTGAGAAAGCGGTTGCAAGTCAGTCACAGTCTCTTACCGAATTCAACGCTTCGGCGTGTGGACATATACCTTTTACTGGGCACTCCTGTTGTAGTCTATAGCAAATGTTTCCGGTCCAACTTGTTTAAAAATGTTATCAAGTACAGCCTATCCTAAAAAAACAACCCAACAACAATGGAACGTTCTTAAATGCTCAGCTAATGAACAGTGCGAGCAAGGGTGCCGCTTGTGAAGCTATCGAGCCTAGAGACTAAAGTCAGACGTTGTGTGCTTTATCTACTGTACTTCAGCGTTTTACACCGTAGTTCTCACAGTTGAATAGATTGGTGCCTTTTAAATATAAGCTGTGTGCCCTACATCACTTAACCACGAATTCTCAATTATGTCATTTTCTCTGACCAATGGTGCTTCTCGGTCAGTCATGGGATTGTAGTGTGGTATTTTAAGTTTGACAGGCTACGAAACCGTTTAAATGCAAGCCTTCTTTTTAATCGGCAACAAAACCGTTTATAAATTAAATGCAAGTTATCTTTGGCCAAGGGACCGAATAGAAAGAAGACGACGACTCTTCGTAGTTAAGCCGTCAGAGAAAACTAAAAAACTGAATAGGCAAAAAGTAAGCTTTCGATGTTTCTTTCTGTCTAGTACTCTATTGTACCAACATTATATTGCTGCCATTGTTCGAAAATAAAGTGAATTTATTCATTATTATTTTCAGATATAGGAAGGTGGATCTGAGAGTTGCTAACTAAGGGCTAAGATATGACTTCAGTCATAAAAGAAGAGCACATAATTATTCTACACGACGTCTGCTATCGAACTTACTGTAAGAGTTTCATGTTACTTCACTCCTGATTATTTAATGACCTCAAAAACAATGGCTTGTTTGCACCCTGGAGGAAACAAGACGAAGTTCATGAAAGAAACACAACCATTTTACATTTTAATGTACTGCAAACTTGGCGAGTCTCCAAAACTAATTTCTGAAAATTGGCAGTGTTTATGAAGAAGAATCTGTTTTTTCATATGACAGGAAATATCATTGGGTAAGCTTAAGGGAATTAAATGAAGGGAGAGACACTGTTCTTCTTGACTCACGTTCTGGCCACCCAAATTCCTTTCGGAACGACTAAACCGTTGATATAATCTTGCACCAGATCCCCTGATACGACATGCTTGGACTTACGTTTCAGTTGAAAAAAAGTTTGTGCCCGTTGGGTATCCCCTTTACAAACCGAGGAACATAAAACAAAGTGGGTGAAATGTCCCACAAAATTGCTCAACGGGTTTGAAAATCATGCGCCCAAGAGACTTACTGTCGGGAGGCGAAACAAGGAATTCCTTATTTGGGGGAATTTCTTCAAAACGAATTAATCTCATGGGGATAGATGAAAAAAACCCCAGGCCTGTCGTTTTACGCCCAAGATTTCAACGCACAAGGAGGCTTCGTTTTGTTCTTTTAAATTACTCTGGTCCCCTTGTGTTCGGTATCATGCTACTTAATATTTCTATGACTCCTTCTTACTACGAGCAAAAAGTACTGTCCCCGTTTAAAAATGTCGTTGAAGAGCAGAGAACAAAGATCGGATTCTCTTGCACAATGCGCCTCCGCGATATTATATAAATTATAGAGTTCCCCACAAAGCATGGACAACAACTCTGTCCATACAAGGGTAAAGGACCCAAGTTCAGCCTTATCCAGTCAATATTCCCGACTTAGCTCTCTGGCAGCTCTGGCTATTTCCTGTTTCAAAAGTTGAGCTTGCTGGGCAAAAGTTTCCACGCGTTCAGGACTTACCAAGAGCTGTAAATTCAGAGCTGCGAAGCATACCGGAAGCTGACTAACACTGTGCCTTCTGGAAGAGAGGTTGATGATGTAGAAATTTTGCGTACAAAGTCGGAAAGAATATTTCCAGGGATTGTTAAAATTTCAGGTCCATAGCATAATTTTTTTATATACTTCTCGACTCTCATTACATTTTTATCCACCTTCGTAATATAAATCACGCCTTTGTTCAGCCATTAGGTGTACTTAGGTGTCCAGATAAAGTTAGTGCATGTTTTGGATAACAAGATCTCAAGGAACTTTTTAGAAATAGCAACAACATCAACAACAACAACAACAACAACAACAACAACAACAACAACAACAACAACAACAACAACAACAACAATAATAGCAACAACAGCAACAACTTTATTTAAAGAAATACAACTCTAAACAAAAACAGCGAAAAAAGTTCCTTGTCAATTTCCACGAGAAGCTAAAGAATAGAACGGGAATGAGTTACACATATTTTCGGATCAACCTGAGAAGGCTTTGCGTCTAAGGTTACTCAAAGTACTTGATCGGGAGGGGGCGGGG